ATTAATTATAGGCATTGAATTATTGTAAAATTAAAACAGATTTAATTATTCCTTGTTATGGTATAACTAAATTCCCAGAAAATGGAAATTATGCAATGGTTCTAGATTATGCACCAGAAGGAAATTTAAGAGATTATTTACAAAAAAATCATTCAAATTTAACATTAAAAGGTAGAATTAATATTTTTAGCTGTTTGTGTGATTCATTAAATCAAATACATAGAGATGATTTAATTCATTGTGATGTACACAGTGGTAATATATTAATGGATAGAGGTGGTAGTTACATTACAGATTTGGGATTATGTGGACCAGTTGATGAAAAATCATCAAATAAGGTTTATGGGATTATGTCATATCTTGCACCTGAGTTATTTAAAGGAAAAAAGAATACAAAAGAATCAGATATTTATAGTGTTGGAATGTTAATGTGGGAAATATTTGCAGGCCATCCACCATTTGATGATAAAGCTCATAATCATTTCTTAATGGTAGATATATGTGAAGGCTTACGACCACCAATATTACCAGGAATGCCTAATGATTATGCACAAATGATGCAAAGGTGTTGGGATATGGATCCAACCAAGAGACCAACTGCTCCAGAGCTGACTGCATTTGCTACTAATAAATCACAAGAAATTTATGAAAATAGCAGTGATATTGGTGGTGGTGATGGTAATAATAGTAGTAGTAGCAGTAGTAGTAATAACAATAATCGTAATGATAATGGTAACTCACAACAAATTTATAAATCACATCCATTAGCATACCATAAAAGTAGAATATTAAATGATGAAATTGCTAAATTAAATTTAAGTAATGATAGCTTATTAAATTATGAAATATAAATTTAATTAATTAAAAACAATAATAAAGGATAAATAGTTGAAAGGTTAAAATTTTAATTTGTTGATGGATAAATTTTTATTTATATTATTTAAAATAAAGAGAAATGAAAAATTATACAAAGTGACCCATCACCTGACTTTAAATAATTTCACAGATAATAAAATTTATAACTGTGAAGTAATTCGGAAGTATCTTACTTTAAAGCAGAGTATGGTCTTGATATTTGAAAAGTCTATAAAATAAATAATTTGTAATGTTATTTGCCACGGGTTACAAGTATCACAAAGCAATTATAAAAATAAAGCCGTTGATGAATTAAATAAGTTTGAAAAGCATAAACTTAAACCTTCTGAAATGTTAAGAATGGTTTACCAATAGAAATTATTTTACTATTGAAGAGACAGGGAAAAATCAAGGTAAGATGCAGCAGAGAGTGATTTTCCTAAGGAAATTTAGCTGATATTGCTAATATTGACACTCAGCAAGAATTAAAATGGTTGGAAATCTAACCAAAATATAATAATACTAATTTTGATGATTATCATGGAAGTTTAAAAAACTATGAGAAGTATAAACAGTATGATTAAAAAGTTGCCAAGAAAGGCATTGAGAAAGAATCCATAAAACTTTGGGAAAATGTTAAAAAGAAAGGATGGTCAGAACACCAACCAGTTGAATTAAGTAACATTTGGCAAGAAAGCAATTTTATCAACAAAATAACTTGCAAGTTAAGCTAAATTTGATATTGGTGGTCACTGCTTATACTACTTCTCCACAGCAAAGAATTTAATTTAAGAAGACAAGGAAAAAAACGAGAGTTTAAAAAACATTGCCAGATTTCAAGGATATATAAAAGATTAAGAAGAAAAAGAATAGATGAAATATCAGCCAAAGGAATCAAGAAAATTGAGAATCATATTTAGCTACTAAACCTAAGGAAGAAAAGAAATTTGCAAATTTAGGAAACAAAATTAAAGCCCAATTCCAGCAGCGTGGTAGATGATATTAAGACATTTTCATATTGTATATTATTATTCTGTCACTGTGGTAATAATAGTGGTGGTAGCAGTATGAAATATAATTTTATTAAATAATTGATTAATTATAATAAAAATAATAAGTATTTTAAAGGAGGGTTGATAAGGTTAAAGTTTTAAAAGTTGGAAAATTGTTGATGGATAATTAATTTCACCGTTTTTATAATATTATTTATTATTATTATTATTAAAATAAGAGAAATGAAAACAAATTATACAAGTGACCCATCATCTGACTTTAAGTAATCTCACCACGGATCACAAGTATCGACATCAAATGCAAAGATAAGGTTTTAAAGAAACCAATTATAATTTTTAGGATTGTTTATTTCACTAATGGTTTGTCTATTTTTAAAGTATCATTAATTTCAGAGGTGCTATATCTAATTCTCATAGAAAAATCTCAATCATTCTATAAATATTTGGTTACCACAATATGCTCGTGGTTAAAGCTAAACAAATAACCTGAAAAACAGAACCGTTCATCAATTATACTAATCCCAATTTAACAGTTAAATAACTCCTACATAAATCTAGTATTAGTATTAATTCTAGTTCTGACTTCTAGGCAATAATAATATCCAGGCCAGTCAGCAACACTAGCGACGCAGATAAATTGTTGGATATATTGTTTTTAAAAAATGGATCTATGCAGTGGTGTACAATTAGAAAAGAATTGTTACGACCATCAAAGTCTTTCTTCGTATATTATCATTTGATGTTAATAATTGATTATCATTATTATTTATTTGAAGAGTAGAAATTGTTTCTTTTAAATAAAATATCTAGGTAGTTAATTTTATTATGAGTGAATTTATTCAAATACAGTCAAACTCTCGTTTCAACGAATTTTAAAAATCTTGTTACTATTACCATTACTATTTATTACACATTATGAAAACATATAAAATTCGTTAATAATCCTGTTTCAACGAATTTTGAATGAGTTTTCTTATATATCCAGCACTTCGCTGAAACGAGGTTTGATTGTATTGATTTTTCTATCCATAATCCCGAGCCGATTTCAAAGTTGTGCTTGAGTATCGGAAGTTGAGGGATATACTTCTTAGGAAATTATAATGACATAATAATATTTTTGTGTTAATGGGACATAAAGTTACGTGATGAAGGAAGTTCTACATTAAAAAATACTAAAAGGTTAAAATGTCGTTTGTAGAATTATTGACAGCAGACAGAAGAGATTTTGTATCGGAAATTTATAATGGAATGTTCAACAATGCTTACACTGCCTTTTCCACTATTTCTGACAGAAAAAATAGAAAAGATTTTTTTTATAATTAATCAAAGAAAACAAATCTTTTAGCAATGAAAAAAAATTTATGTTTTTGAATTTAGGGAAATGCAGTTCATAAATTGGGAGGACCAAGAGAATCTAAAAATTGTCTTAATTGCTACGGCATTTGTTGCGCGGTCCAAACGAACTTTGTTCCTTTCCGCATAAATAGCGTCACCTATCACTGGTTTTATCAAAAACCCTCGGTTAAATTAAAATTTCCTTGGTCTCATAAGATTCCAAATTTGTTCAGAATACTTTTCAATTCACGTGAAATAGCGGTTTTGGATGATGATATTAATTTGCATTTTAATGTTAAAATGCAAGATTGTCAAGCGTCTATACCCTGATCTTGATACTATTATTGTTTATATATTTTTCCATAACAAAGAAGATTATCGCGAGATTATCAAGTGACTGACTTTTTTTTTGTCGATCTCTATAAATAGTATTTTTAATCCTAAAATTGAATTAAACAAAAATGTTTAAGAAACATACAAATACATACAATTGGCTTGTAGAAGATTTCCAAGAATTTTATAATTATAAAAATTGTCAATCTTATTATAGTGAAAAATTTCATTCAACAGGTCCACTTTATTCTGAAGATGGAAAATTATTAAAAGATGACCATGAATATATTTGGCGTTTAAAATTATTACCTAGACTTGTTGACGGTTATGTTTCATTATTTGTTTGGCCTATTCAGAGTGACTGTGAAAAAGAATTCAAGTTAGAAACAAGACTTATGAAATATAAATTTGAACTTTTTAGGATCAAGAATAGTATTGATGATGATGATAACTACAAGAATTATAGTAGTGATAGTAGTAGTATCAATAATAGCTTATCATTTATAGATTTAGAAAAACTTGATTGTTATAAATATTTTTTAGAAAAAAAATTTGTATTTAATTCGGATAGACCTTGTCAAGGCATACCTGAATTATGTAAAATACATCAAATTTTCCCAGATAAAGATTTTAAGAAAAAAACAAATTTATTAATTCGTGTACAGTTTGCATTTCCTGATCAAATTAATGTTGCTTGTGATGAAGAAGAAAATGAAGATGACGAAAAATTGAACAACAGTAACAACAACAACAACAGCGTCAGTAATAAAAAGTTGAAAACCTTTGATTATAATTTAGAAGAATATTTAAATAATGAGAAATTTAGTGATATTAGATTTAAGTTTAGTTGTGGTAATGAATTAAAAGCGAGCAGGATAGTTTTATCAATAAAATCTGAATATTATAAGAAAAAATTCGATAGAATAAAAGGAGAAAAAGAATGTTGTGGGGGTGAGGATGTAGGAGGATGGGGTGAATTAAATTCAAATGAAGTTATTAAAATGGATGATAATGTATCGTATGAATGTTTTAAAGAAATATTATATTTTTTCTACACTAATCGACTACAAGAAAATCTATTGTTCGAAATCTTACGAGATCTTTATTTGCAAGCAAATGATATAAATTTAGAAGAATTAAAAGATTTGGCGACAACAAAAATAATTAAAATGATTGATGAAAATAACTGGAGTGAAATATTAATGTTAGGATGGAGAACGAATAATTTACAATTAAAGAATATTGCATTCAAATATATCAATAAGAATTGGTCAAGCATTCGAAATACTAAACAAATGAAGAATGTATTAAGTTGTGTTGATGTTGATTTAGCCGAAACATTATTTTATAAAAAATTCTTTGGAAAATAATGAATAATAATAATAATAAAAAATCAAGTTGTAAAATTATTATTTATATACAGGATTTTTTTAATACATTATATTTTTTTAAAAAAATTTAGATTTATCTTAACGTAACATTTAATTCTTTCTCGATATTATTTCTTACTTTTTCTTGAATGTCATTGATTTCTTCGTTTGTACATGTTCTTTTGGAGGAGGGAGAAAGGAAGGAAAATTTGTTATTTTCTTTAATACTAAAAAATCTAAATGTTCAATAAAATTTAACATATGATAATTACCTATCCATAGATCTATAATTAATTCTATAGCATAGACTACGTTTTTTAGTTTTTGGATTTATAAAATCATCAACCTATTGAATAAAAATAAACAAATAAAGCATTAATAATAAATATATATATATATATATATATAACAACAACAATAATATCACCAAACCACCAAGTCATCACCACCACTACAATCAATTTACCAATTTAACATCTTCTACTAAATCTGCAGCAATTGCTCTTACTATTTCACAAAAATTGTTTTCATGAAATTTTATTTCTCTTCCATCTTCTTCATTATTCAACCAAAAACTAATATCTTTTGTACAGGATGGATGTTTGGAAAATGGTTGAAATTTTACTATTTTATTTGAGGATGTGAATTGACTTGTGAATCGTTCATCTTTTGACCAAAATAATCTTATATCCGGTATACCAAACAATACCATCGCTATACGTTCCAAACCTAATCCAAATGCCCATCCAATCTTATTCGATTGACCTACCAAACAAATATAAATAATTATATAGTGTTATTGTTATTATCATTATATAAGATTACAATATATTATTATAATTCTTATTATCATTGCCTGAATTATTTAAAATTTGCTGTTGTATAACTCCACATCCACAAATTTCAAGCCATTTCCCATTATAAAATATTTCCATTTCCCAACTTGGACTTGTAAATGGAAAATATGCATCAATCCATCTAACCTGTAAATCCTTATTATCATCATCACCATTATTGTTGTTATTATCATTAAACAAATTCTTAACCATGCTATTCAATGAATATTTTAAATGTTTTATTGTTGCATTAGCTTCTTCAATTGGGTGGCAAGATTGTAAAGGATTCGATGATCCAACTATTGTATCATCATTTGTTTTTACTTTGTCATCACCATCACCATCATTACCACTCTTACTCTTATTCTTACTACTACTACTAAAAGAAGAATTCAACATTAGTTCATTATTAACTTGTGCAATAACTTTATCAATTGGGAAAATCCTTGCACCTTCCATTTGATGAAAAACAGGATAATGATTTGAATCAATCTCATCTCTTCGATAAACATCTGCACTAATCAAAAATTTCTCATATCCCAATTTGAAGGCTTGTAATTGATGAGCTGATGTGTGAGTTCTTAGCATAACATTTTTATTAATATAATAACTATCTGTGGTACTTCTACCCGGATGATCTATCGGAAATCCAAGATCATCGAAATTTTCTTTTGTTGTAACCACTGGATTAAATGAATCAAAATAATCAAATTCATTAAAATGTGTTTTAATTTTATTGGCTAGTATTGAAATTGGGTGATGATAATTAGATGTTTGTCGGTTTTGTTGCTGAAGATGAAGTTTCCTTGTGATTTTGGATAAGATTGTTGGTGTCACGTTAGTGAAATTATCAGTCGAGTAGGTTTTCCCTTCAATGTAAACTGTGTCCTCACTAATATATGGCTCTTTAATGTTCGGTTCTTGGTTTGAAAGACTATCATCATTATTAATCAGTGTTGATGTTTTTGGATTAATTTTATCATGATTTATATTAACGTGATTATTATTGGTAGAAAAAAAATAAAAAAGAATTTTATTGTTATTATAATTATTATTATTTATTACAAATAATTTTGACAAAGATTTTTTTAAAAATAACTTTTCTAAAACCAAAGATTTTGATAACAACATTATAGATTTCGAAAAAAAAAATTTTGATTGTCAATCACACATGATTCCAATTTCAGAAAATAAAATTTTTCGTTAATTATAAATTTCAAATTTACACGATGTCTTGCTTTTTTTTAAAAAATTAAACCAAATAACATATAACAAAGATCTATTCATCAGTGTTGTTGACAAATTACAATGTCATTTGCTATCTTTCAAATGACCTAGTATTGAAATTAATAGTGAATTATCATGTGACTTTGACATTTCACAGGTCAAGATTGTCTACACACTTGTTAGTATTAAGGCATTGAGAAATCAAGGAACAATCAGGACAAACTAATAAGATATGAAAATCAGGAAGTTGGAGAAATTAAGTGAGTTGAAGAAGAAGTCGAGGAAGAAGGAGTATAAAAGACGAGGAGGAAAACAGTAAAAGGGAAGAGGAGAAGGAAGAAGAGAAGATGATAAAAATTATTGGGAAGAACAAATTGGAAACTTTTTCCTTTTTATGCGTTCTCGATGCCTATTTTCCATTTTGACTTTTGTCTTGTTAGCTATCAAAAAAAAAGCCCCAGACATGATATTATAGAGCATGATGGTCCATTTTTGAACCAACATCATCTTCTTGAGAACCCTTTGCTGAAATTGTTGTTTAATCCAGAGCCTAGAAAAAATAATGCAGATAAGATTAAATCAGAAAATATTTCAACCTTACATGAAGGCATTTCTTCTTTCTCTTTTATAATTTTCTACAGCCGGGTGTTTGACAAAAGTGAAAGGTGTATATGAACCTAGCAGCAGTGAAATAACAACAATGACGTTCTTATTATGTTAGAGTTTCAGGCTGTGATAAACTCGAACATGTTATGAACAGTTATGTAACAACACATGGTTTTTTTGTTGTTGCAGAAATGGAGGTTCAAAAGACATTTCAATTATTGAATCATTATTTTCTAGACGGACTCAATGAAAGCTTCGATCAACCAGATGTGTTATTCTTTATCCTCAAATATACCGTTGGCTCTTATTTAAAACTATAGTTTGTGTTATCATTATGAATACAACATATTTGTAGGGTTCATCGTGACTAGGTGAGAGAGCTGGCGAAATTATAAACAGATTATGAAAACTTTGCCAATAATTGAATAGAAATAAACACTTTAAAGAATGAGACAACGAATCAAAGCAAGAAATTGAAAATTTAAAAAGAATAATTGGATCTGCCGAAATAATACTTAATGGCGTGAAAAGAAAATTCAAGAAGAAATAAAACTAAACAAATAAAAGAAACAAAGACAATATCTAACGGGATCAGCAATATCAGCAATATCAGCAATATTTAGAGGATGATCATAAGAGGACGAGCAAGCAATAATTAAAAGAATAATATTACTGATCTGAAAATCAATTAACCTTCATTTGGAGGAAGAGGAAGAAAAAGAAAAAGTGAAAGGGTTATTCAGGAATTATAAAACAAAGTTAAAGAACTAGAAAAGTATCAGCCAGATTGAAATTGAATAAAACCAGTACAACCATACATGATGGCGAAATAGTTTTGTTTCGACAATAATTTCGACGATTAGGGTTCAAACATTTCGAACATACCCTAACAGGTTTCGAAAAAATCAAAATTCGAAATCAAAATCGAAAATCGAAATCA